CCTTATATATTGATGCTTGAGGTTCGTACCTACTTTGCTGCATTCTACAGAGAACATGCTTGCATCATCATTTTATTATCACTGAATAGTGGATGTGTACTTTGTTTATGGGTTACTGATGGTCATGTTCGAATTGCTCCTGATATCTGCAAAACTCCAGGTATCTTTGAAAATGTTCAGCAATCCCTGCAGCATCAATTCTAGGCATGCGTCACTGCAAATGGTTGGAATTTTGAGTACGGTGGATCCTTGTAGGATTATGGACAGTTTGGTTCATAAATAAATTATCTGAACATAAAAGCAAAACAACAAGTTTCTGTCATTAACAAAACCTAATTGCAAGCGACTTACAGAACCATCACTTTGGTTTGGAAGCAGTTGTGGTCTCAAGTAAAGACTAAGCCATTTGACATATAGGACTTTTTCCTGTTATGTATCACATTGAGTTTCTAGACAAAACCATGGGTTAGGCAGCTAACAGCTAAGATGTCAAGAAGTTACTAGAAAATTATAAAAATGAATTCAACAAGAAATAATTACAACTTCAGAAGCAGCAATGAAAGGTGACTGTGAAAGGAATGCCTTCAGAAAAAGAGGAAGAAAGAAATTTTTTTTTAGTTATCTGATTCCATGATTCAATGAAAGGTGACTGTGAAAGGAATGCCTTCAGAAAAAGAGGAAGAAAGAAATTTTTTTTTAGTTATCTGATTCCATAACTTTGTGAAAAATGGAGGGAAAAGTAAAGTTTTCATATAATGATATCACCCTGAAATTACAGAATAACCATTTTCAGTGATAATGCCATGTCTCACTTTTGAACCAATGTTGTCTATGCCATTTTAAAGCATAGACAACAACAAATCACCTTGATAAAATTTTTGAATGAAATGGAGGCCCATTAACTCCCAATTAGTAGAGGGTGAACCTGTAAAATTGGCTAATAGGTGGAGTCTCTCCCCATTGGAATCTCTTTGTATTAAAGTGGTTGAACATCAAAGTCCCTGACAACTGAACTGGTCATAATAATTGAGAGGACAGAGTATTTTTTTCACTGGCTTCCCACATTCACCGGACCTAACCGGCATGTGATTTTTTTTCCCTTTGGGGCTTTATGAAAGATCATGTCTACATTCTGCCACTACAAATATAGTTTCAAATAGTAAGTCTCTCATAGTTGAATGTATATGAATATAGTCATATGCATTCAACTATGAGATCTCAGTGCCCGTCCTTGATCTCAGTGCCCGTTTTGAAAAATTATGTTAGCTGCTATACCATGGTAGATGAGGACTTTTTACATTCTGCTACAAATCATGGTTTCCTTATGGAGTTCTTGAAGACTTATTTCACTTTCTTATATTTAAAACTGGTAACCATACATTAACTTCATATGTGTCACTGCTGCTAATCAGTTGGCTGAAAAATCAAAGGAAAATGTTGTAATTATATTCACTTTACTCTTTTTGCTTCTCCCCCAATTGTGGGCACTAGCCATTAGAGACATTAGCCACTACTAAGGCTATAAGTGGTTGCCACTATTGAACCACTTGATAGGTGGCCACCATTGTCTCCCATGAAGGGACACGCAATTTACATCCATGCCTTCCCTGGGATTCGAATCTGGGTCCTTCAGTATGGCAGTCAAAGTCACAATCCACTTTTCCATCTGGGGCGTCACTCATGATAGTAATAGAGCAGTTTCTAAAGTACTTCTGCTGTAGTATTATCATTAGTTCCCATCTTTCATATAGTCGAATCAGCTTATAATATAGGATGTCCGTGTATTATAACATACAATGATGTATTATAACAGTTTAATTTAGACTGTATACAACAAATCATATGCCAAAGTGAAGGTAAACTAACATAATTTTTCTTACAGATGTGCACTTTGTTATATGGTACACATTCAACCTCTTGTCCAATGCTTCCATCACTTTGGTTAACAGGTCCAGAGTAATGGAAGCAGTAGCTTTTTCAATTCTGTATTCCAACTCATTAGGTAGTAGCAAATCATTAGGTAGTGGCAGAATGTAGACATGATCTTTCATAAAGCCCCAAAGGGAAAAAAAATCACATGCCGGTTAGGTCCGGTGAATGTGGGAAGCCAGTGAAAAAAATACTCTGTCCTCTCAATTATTATGACCAGTTCAGTTGTCAGGGGCTTTGATGTTCAACCACTTTAATACAAAGAGATTCCAATGGGGAGAGACTCCACCTATTAGCCAATTTTACAGGTTCACCCTCTACTAATTGGGAAAGAGCCATTCTTGTAACATATCCTGATAAGCCATCCCTGTTATGGTAGTTTTAGTTAAGCAAAATGGTCTGTTCACTTGATGTCAGGACAAGGCATGGGAAACATTTAATTTTGTAGAATTTCTTTGGTGTTCCACAAGTTCATGCGGATGTTCTGACCTCCACATATGAACATTATGGGTATTATTACACATCACCTTCCCACTCAGATGAAAGTTGACGCATCTTTGAACACCACACAATCAAAAGCCGTCATCCCATTCAAATACTTTACTTCCAAATTTAAAATTTACTCTGTAGTCATCTAATTTTAAAGCATGTAACAACCATAACCAGTATGGACCCATTTGTAAATGTTTCCTTGGAACCTTCCAGACTGTTGTCTTTGGCAATTGAAGTTCAAGACTCTGTTTCCAAACAGATTTTTAATGGCTATTAAGGTAAGATGCTCTGACTTGGTCCACATCCTGGTCAGAGACTTTTGGTCGTCTCATGCTTTTCTCTTTACAAACACATTCAGTTGTTTCAAATTGCCTATACCATTGGCAGATGTTTTTGCCACATAGGGGAATGCAATTAAACTTTAAGTAAAATGCATGCTGAACTGAAATTACAGATTCACTCTTAGCAAATTGCAGAATATGAAGCGCTTTGTGTTCAGTAATCATCATTTTGTTTATGTGGCACTGCAAGCGAGAAAACCACAAAACACTATTCTTGCATGCACTTATCTAAAACTGCTTGAGTTACTTTTTAATTTCGATCTCAAACCAACACTCTACAATGTTTATAGTAGATACTGTAGTACAAAGTCTGAGATCCGGACTCATTGGGACTTTGGTAATCCCGGATTTGGGACTTTTCCAGATTACTTTGATCAACAGTCTAAATCTAGTAAGGTGATATGTAGAAATTTAAAATAAAAAATGTGAAATTGTGATTTATAAAATAATGAAGCATTTATGGTCATAAAAGATATCAAAATTTACCAAAAGAAAAAACTTGATATTTATTTGTTTACTTTATTAAACATTTCTTTCAACGTAAGTTGTTTAAGTTGCTTCATTTTTTTTTGTGCTCATACTTTCTCTTTAATTCTATAGACAGATAGTTTCTTGTTCAGTTACAAAGTTCCATTATGTAAGTACTATAATTGCTGTGTCGAGAATTCTGACTAATTTGTTTGAGTTCAGGGCATCATTTAAGTCATTTACATTTATATTAAAAAAGATGTAACTTAGTACAGATCCCTGAGGAAGACCAGTCTGCAGAACAAAACTTCGAGATACTTTATTTCCAAAACCCAGATATAAGTATTCAAGAGTAATTCCTTTTCATAATAACCCAAATTCTTAAGAAATTCAGCATGGATATAGTCCACTTCTAGAGATTTTCTAATTTTAAGATTTCTCAATGCAGTCTTCAGTTCATGTATTACAAAAGAGGAGCCAAAGACATCATCAGGTGCTCCAGTCCAATCTCTTTTAGAGTAAGGAAGACTAAAAATTTGAGTGTGAATATGCTTAGACATCCCACGAGCATCATCAGTCTTTCTCTGGTTTTATTAAAAATCGCAGGCATTTGCAATAGATTCTTCAGATGTAAAATGCTAATGTCTACATACATGGGTTCTTTCTTAGATGGAATGTATTTAATTTGTGTTCTTGCTAGGTAGGTACTTTTTTTTTATAGTCAATCCCTGAAGTAAATTTATTAAAAGCTTTCCGTTTATACTCAAGTAAAGATTTTTGAAAGAATGCAGAATGTCTCCTCCAAACAGTTACATCACACTATCTCTTAGTTAACGCATTTTTTTCAAAGATGATCTCTAATTTCCTTTAGGTGCTTTCTTTGTTATTACCAAATACTGAAGACAACTGCTGTACAAATACAGTAGCAAACGTTTCAATGTATAATTTTCTCGAAACTTTAATCCTAGCTGCCATGTTTAATATTGAGAAAGAGAAATAAAGCCCATTTTGTATCTCGTGCAGCCCTTGTACTTTTTTACTTAATTTTTAACAAAAGTTCTTAATATTAAGTAAATAATTCTTATTTTCTCTGGGTCACAGGACCTGCAGTAGAGGGTCGCCAAAAATTTAGTAGTTTTGATATTTCTTTAACTTATTATAATAATTTTACAATTATCAAATATTTTTACATAATGTATCTGAAAATAGATAAAGATAAGACAATACAGACCAAAAAAAAAAAGGGGGGGAATGTTTCGACACATTCTTTTTATAATAGAAGCGTTCATTGTACTTGTTTTGAACGTGACACTGTCATTTTGTCTGTTACTTATTTAAAATTTTCACATTGTTCTATGTCTTAATATTAGAAATTAAAGGTAATGACCTAAAACTGAAATGGTATATTTTAGTACAAGTGAAAAACATTGACAGGTTTACACACGCGTGTGTCGGATTTGTACAATGCTTATGGGGTCCCACAAAATTTTCGTAAATATTATGGGGTCCTGGGGATCGCCAAAAAAATCTCAATAATAAAAAGGGGTCGTAACTGAAAAAAGTTTAAGAAACGCTGATATATATCATCCTATATGGTGATAATTATGTCATCATTAATATTATTGTGATGTGATTATGATGATTGTGGCATTATCATCTTTAATATCATTATGATGATTATGGCATTATCATAATTTCATATATGATGATGCTTATGAAATTTGTTTATTGATTTTCCCATCAAGATTCTAATTTTTATATTGTCTGCAGTGGACAGAACATCATTCTTTGGAAGACTTCAAGATTCATGTTCAAATTTTGCTCACAGAAGACGCAGAGATTCTACTTTCGGATATTTTAAACAAGATTTGGTAAGATATATTCTAACAATTACATTCTTATTGCTTAAAATTTATATAAAAGCCTATTAAATGCATAATAAATCTCTGATTTAAAGGAATATTTGGGAATACAGTTTTTTCAGAAAATCCATTCAATTAACTTAATTGTATTTTTGTGTATTGTTTGGGAATTGGAAGCTATGTATATGAACTTAAGACAGTGTTTTGCTGTCTTAGGACCTCTTTTTCTTTTTCCTTTATCCTTTCAAATTCGAAGTCTGTCTTTAAGTTCTTGCCATCAAGAGAACTTGCAACTTAAAAATAAGTTTATGAGCGAGGACATCTTTTGAATGCTTTTACCAACTCGCTAGCATTGCAGTGTGGGTCAGTACATTGTAGGGTACAGAGAAATGAGAGTGTAGATTTCCTAGGAAAGAAAGCCCAGAAAAATCCCAGAAATTTTACCAACTTTAATTCTGCTAAGGGATTGATAAATACGGAATTTAACAAGATACAGGATTCAAATATGTTAACTTAAAACTGGGGGGAATGCATGGTAATGTCTCCCTGGGCAAGGGATATGATATCCCTGATTCTTTTTGAGCTACAGCTGTGGCATCATTCCATCTTTTGACTGAATATGATTGCCTTAATGTTCATCTCTTTTACATTAGACTCAGGAATTGTGTTCTCTTATTATGACTGTATAAGGTCTACGGGAAAAGCATATTTAAACACATGCTGTGCACTTAATAGCTGTATTTCTGTCACCCAAAAGTACTAAAAAGCAAGATGGCTAATGGTTTAAATGCCAAAAGCTAATCATTTATAAATAAATAAAACTTATATTTAATTTTGTTTTACATCAGTAAATATCACATCCACTGAATAGTTTATTATGTCCACTGTTTGTTAATTTTCTTTTAGTCATATTTAAAAGTAGTTTGATAAATAAAAGCTTTTCTTTCCTATTCAGGATTTTCTGACTATAAAAATGTAAGAAAATTACAAAATGAAATTAGCCAAAAAGCATAAAATTGAAAATATATAATAATATATTAATATATTTTACGCAAGAATCATGTTATAAATGGTTCAGTAACCTGGTGTATTATAAAGCATATATAAAGTCATGTATTATAAAGCGAGTTTAAGTCGATTTGAAGTTCTTTTGAAATTTCATCAACGTGCATGCTAAAACATTTCGACTATCTTGATTTTTGTATGAGAACCTTCTGGCTTTTCATACATATTTCATGGTTGGTAACTGTGATATGCATAATAAAATATGTTAACTTTTTCAGAATTTAAGATTAAAAATTACATCTATGATTAACAACCATGATGCCTTGTTAAGTAACTGCATGTGAATAATTGTAAATAAGACTTTCCTGGGGCAGTGTTATTTTTATGCAGTAAAAATTAATGTTGAATTAAAGTACTTGGAATGGTAATTTTTTTACTAGGAATGTTAATTTGGAACCTGTTAAAAATGTTAAAAATTTTTAATTTCCTAGACAGTTTTATTTATTTATTTATTCTTAAATAAATATCTTTAGTTTCTTCTTCTTCTTCTCTTTTTTTTTTTTTTTGTTTTCAAGAATAGTGATTTTAGTTACTTGCTAATATACAAATATGCTTGAGCGTTTATTTAAAAAATTTCTTCTTCCCTTCTGCTGATAGTTTGATATTTTATAATGTAAACTCAGGCAGCATGCATTCATAAATTATGTGCAAAAAATATATGAATGGTCTTTCATATTAAAAACATAAAACTCAAACATAAAAATATCATAAGTGTATACTTTATGCAGAAATTTGCCTATTTTTTGGCTATATGTATAATATAGTAATTTTTTTGACATATATGTATAATATTTTGTAAAATTTGAGGTAAATTTCCTGTACCTTTTACTCTATATTCACGTACATCTTTGGCAATAAAAAATTGCATGAATCAACTATTTTCTTACCAAATTACTATGTTTATACAAGTATTTTGTGTGAAATCTACATATATTTTCACGGGTATACATATATTTATTTAGTACCATATTTCTCTCATTGTATGCAGGTAATATATGAACATTACGAATGTAAAATTCCATTTTAAACACATCTGATTTTTATATACCAGTGCTTTTAGTTACATTGCACATTACATACATTATTAAAATAGAATACATATGTACCAATCATAGTTAAACTTTAAATTGTTTAAAACACCATCCACAAAATTTTTCCCATGCATATGTTAAAAATTTCCAATGTTTATTAAATATCATAAGCTAAAAGAAACCATAAAGTTTAAGAAACCAAAAAGTTGTTCATGAAGTAAATCTTTTTTGTAAAAAATATATGAATTTAATACTGTAGAAAAATTCATAATATTTAGTGTTTTGTATTGAATGATTAAATGCTAAGCAAATTTCAAAACTAGATTTTTATGTGTTTTACTTTATGAAAAAATAAAAGCAGTAAGAGGCACCCTTAATATCTATGAAATTTCCTCTTTATTAAGGGCCATTTAATTTCCATAAGTTTGTGTTTTTGGTTAATTTAATGTTTCACAGCTAATTTTGTTTTCAGATACAGTGAAATTTACCAGAAATTTTTTTAAAGTCATTTTAAATGTATCTTTGTTGAGCTAATGCTTTAATACTATAAATATTTTGCCCATTGAAAAAGTAATATTGACTAATTGATATACAGTCAAAAGTCTTTAATCCGGACGTTCATAATATGGAATGATCTATAATCCGGACCTCAAAGCTACAAACTTCTGCGTGCGCGAAACCTTACATGCGATAAACATTACCATGCACGTTTAATGTATAACGGCCGTATAGCTAAGCTAAAATTATGTAATTATCTATTTCAATTAATGTTGCGATTGCATGTACTTAAAGTAATTAGAAAAGTAAAAAATGGCAATTTTTCTGTTCAAATGGATATGCATCACCAAATTGTCAAAATAAACTGAAATAAATTTATCATCATTCATTTGTAGTACAGGTAGTTAAATATTTCATCCACTGCTACTGATCTCAATAAAGAAAAAATTAATCTTCAGTATAATTTATAATTAATGCTAAATTTTTCCCAAACTTACTCTATTTTTGTGTGAAATATTCCATGTAAATTATCAGAAAATTATCTCAGATGGATATCAAAAACAGATACAGTCAAAAGTCGTTAATTCGGACACCCATAATCCGAAATGATCTATAATCTGGACCTCAAAGCTACAAACTTACTGCACATGCGTCGCCTTGACAGCTGCAAATATGCGTGTGCGCATGCCCAAAATACGTTTACGCATGCCCGTTTAATGTATAACGGACGGTATAAGCTAAGCTAAGATTATCTAATTCAGTTAATGTTGCAGATTGCGTTGTTCCTTAATCTTCGAATTGGATCTGGCTTATTATTTTTTGCAGACTGTTAGAGTAATTTTATAAAAGTGAGCTTAAACTTTTGATTATTTCAAAAAGAATTTCTGATTCTAGAGCTGCCAAAGGATCTACAAAGTGAAAGCATGTTTTGATGTCCATCAAACAAAAAGTGGAATTGCTGCAAAAAATGGATAAAGACATATTTTTTGTTTCTCTAACCATTCCGAAATCTGTTTATCAATTTCATGCTGCTCTGCGGGTGGGGTGGGGGGGAATTTCGTGGCGCGCAATGAACTGGTAGTTGATCTGTCAGCACTATACTTATCTTCAGGGCAGATGTTTTTATTTTATTCGACTTATAATTCCTTACTAAATGCAGTATTTCATCTCGATGTACTCCGTCTTTGATATGATTTAGATCAAATTCCTCATCATTATAAATATCACAAATACACATCAAATAGTTTTCTGATTGCAATTTTCTAGTTTCGACTATGCGTAATGTATGCTTTACACATGCACGCGTTGAAAGAAAAGTTTAATAAAGTAAACAAATAAATACATAGACTCCAACTACTACGGATTCTCCGTAGTTTCTACGGAAATTCATGAAAAACTACGAGCTACGAAAAGTATGGAAAAAACTACGGATTTTACAGAAACAAGAGCAGGAGAACCAGTACGCAAAACGAAACCAACTAATTCATCCGATGATTGGCTGAATACTCGTGTTATCATATATCACGTGTTGAGTGCGTTCCTAGTTTTGAAGAATTAGCCAATCGTAGATCAGTAACTCCAACCGTTAACGACTTATCAATAGTTCCACCCAATTGTCTGTCTCCCAGGTTCCTCGCTGATGCGTGTTTAGGCTGCATTCGGCTGCATTGTGTAGTTTACGGCGAGAGCTTAGCGTGTGTCTTGTGAACTGTGAATCAGGTGAAAGATTTTTAATCATAATGCTGCTCGAACGAAGATGCCAAAATTATCAAAGCAGAAGTTTTAAAGATTCATTATTCTTCAGAATTTCCAGCATTAAAGCGTCTGAAATTTCTGTGAATCACGCACACTGCAGTGTATGCAACAAAGACTTCTCAGTTGCTCATGGCGGAAAAGATGACTGTAAACGGCATGTGTTTTCTCAAAAGCATATAGAACTTGGCACTGTAAAATCTAAAGAAAAACAAATTTCTTAATAAAAAGATGATGAAACAGATCTTATAAAAGCCGAATGCTATTTTGTTCGTTTTTTAATTGAACATAATCTACCGCTTTCTGTTTCGGATCATTCCAAAGAGCTTTTCAAAGCAATGTTTCCGGATTCTGCCATAGCAAAAAAATTTAGCTGCGGTCATACCAAAACTGCGCTATTGTGAAAACGCTTGCAGAAAATACTGTTGCTGATATTATAAAATCAGTGTGCAGTACATCATTTTCTCTAAGTACTGATGGAAGTAATGATAACAATGATAACAAACTGTACCCATTGGTTATAACATACTACAGTAAAGAAAAGGGAGTGATAATTACTTCATTGATTTCTATTTTAGAATGCACGAATAATACAGGAGAAGGTATTTTAATTGTATAAATGAAAACTTTAAAAACAAAGGTTTAGAATGGAAAAATTGCTTA